CACCCGGCTCATGATGGGCAGCTCAGGTCGCACGGCAACTTAGTGGCTCGTTGTCAAATATTTAGTTTCCACTAAGGCTACCTTTGAAAGGAACAATGGTTGTCTGTATATGACAGTAGATCCTTGATCCAAAATTCCAAAGGCCGCCTCTGGGATTCAACTTTAGGGCCCTACCAATGGTTCCAAACTGCATCCTTATCTACCATGGATGCCTCAAGTACCATCGGGTCTGCTGGAATGTATGGACCAAGGAGTAGAGCAGCCTGCACAGCAGTCTGGGCCTGTTCTAGAGCCTTCTATTCCAGGTCCCACTTAAAACTAGTAGCTTTCTGAGCCGTTTGGTACATGGGCTGGAGTAATACACCCAGAAGGGAATATGCTGCTTATGGGATCTAAGTAGGCCCACTAACCATTGTGCTTCTTTCCTGGTGGTGGGAGGGGCAGATGAAACAACTTAGAAGGAAAAATCTCTACATGCACCACACTCCTAGAAATTTTACTGAGGTAGAAGCCCTTGAATTTTGATTTTTAATTTAGTTCCCATTGTTCATGCAAATCCCATATCTACATATTTTTATATGCTATCACTGTGCTGAATAGTTTTATTAACTTGATGAAAGCTAAAGTCATTTGAGAGGAGGTAACTTAATTAAGAAAATGCCTCCTTAAGATTGGGATGTAGGCAAGCCTGTAGGGCGTTTTCTTAATTAGTGATTGATGGGGGAGGGCCCGGACCATTGTGAGTAATACCATCCCTAGGCTGGTGGTCCTGGGTTCTATAAGAAAGGAGGCTGAGCAAGCCATGTAGAGCAAGTCAGCCAGCAGCACCCCTCCATGGCCTCTGCATCAGCTCCTGCCTTGAGGTTCCTGCCCCGTGTGAATTTCTGCCCTCACTGCCTTTGATGATGGACTGTTCCATGGAACTGTGAGTGTGGTAAACCCTTTCTTCTCCAAGTTGCTTTGGGTCATGGTGTTCCATTACAGCAATAGTAACCCTAACTGAGGTTCTCTCTCTCTCTCTCTCTCTCTCTCTCTCTCTCTCT